CTTTCCCTACCATTTCCCGGTACTCCCTGACTTTGGCAACCCTGAACCTGCCTAAAGAAAGTAGTTGATCGAGGAACGACTAAGAAATACAAATTTTCTCAAGACACTTGTTGCTGAAAGTACCACTCCCGAATTTCAGACGCGACACGGCGCCAAAATCCCTTAAAATCCATAAACCAGTCGAGAAAAACGGGGTCCCTGGACCGACCTAAGGAAAGCAGCGAGGGGTAGTAAAGGGTAGAGCACGAACGAGAACTCGCGGAGCTAAGGAGTTGCAGGCAAGAGAACAAGGGTGAAAGATAGATATTCAAATTGGGAGAGATTTATCAAGGCGACCGGAACAACAGGAATCGAGATAATTTTTCAATTGGCGCGAACCCATAAAACGGAATGGAATAACGAGCGCAAAAAAAGGCGACGATGGATGAGCCCTCCCCCCCCCTCCGCTCTCCACCCCCGAATTGGCAGAATGGATGTCGTTCAACCCTCTTTACGAGCTCTGCAAGGGTGGAATCGCCGGAATCGGAATGAGGCGCCACCACACACGTCTACGCTTTGAAACAAGGAGGGGGTGCGATCCAGGCTGCCGTCGTGGGCAACCAAAAAGTGGTAAGGAAAGAGAACAGTGTTCGAAACTCACCTTAGAGTTTTAGGAGCCATGTGGCCCATCAAGCTCAATTTTTAGGGGCCATTGGAGATTTTTTGGGGGCCAAATTGACTTTTTATCTACATATCAAGGGGCATTTTGCGAATAGTCAGACGCAAGATGTTTTAGTTACAGAACTAGTAGCTGTAACTTGTAACTTTCGAAAAATCACCGAACAGAAAAATTAGGATTTTTTTTTGAGGGGGGGGGGCACTTTTTAGGGGCCACGTTGGCGCAGAGCCTTCATTTTTTAGGCGCCATGACCGATTTTTAGGGCGCATTTGGCGCGTTGGCGCCTGTGAGCTTCGAACACTGAAAGAGAAGTAGCTAAGAAGCTTGGAATAGAAAGAAAAGGGGGTTGAAGAAAATGAGAAAAAGAAAGAAAATAGGGGAAAGCAAGTAGTAGTAGAATATGATTATTTGTGAGATGTCCCTTACAACGTTTAGCGGTTATACCTTTATTTAATGCTTCTGATTTCAAAGAAAGGAGGACGATAATCGTTTCTCTATGATTCATTTTTTTAATGAAAGAGGACATCACTCAAAATTGGACGCATTTATGCTAAATGGAACTATGTGCAAGTGGAAAGATAGGGTGTGCTTGTTAGTGCTCGGGCCTCAAGAATGAATGGGAAATATAAAGCGCCAGTGACGTCAGCGGCAACTACGAGAGAAACGACGATCAACGACGCGGTCTTTAACTCATGAGCCCTGTCCACAAGGCTCTTGTCACATGCCCACGGCTCGCGAGTTAGCGCTCAGTTCCTTTTGATTTAATTGAAAATCCTGCTTTCCCATTTTCGCAATAGGAACTATATTCACTTTTACATTTGTTTTTTATCCGACTTCCACGAACATACCCCATCTTTCCACTTGCGCATAGTTCCTTTTAGCATAAATATGTCCAATGGGTATATAGTTGAAATTTTGGTGAGGGAGTACTTTCATCCACAGTGCTCACTGCTCATCTTCTTCGGGGAACTCAAAAACTCGCCTACATAGAAAATAGTTGAGTACTTCTCTGATATATTTGCGAACGTGCTTAGAGCTTCCCGCTTGTTTTTCCTCTTATCTCTCATCTTAAAAAAAAATAGAAGAGAAGCTAAAAATTCTGACATTTTCACGGTTGGCGCCCGACGCGAGCAAAGACTTTCCAGTGACGAAGTGATTATAATCGCTTCGCCGATTTTGTGCTCAAGTTCTTTGCGGTCGGGTAAGAACTTGGCACAGCTGAAAAGCGTGTGTTCAGGGGTGTCAAACACTCCTGGACAGTAGGGACAGGAATCAGAAGAAGACGCGCCGTTGCGGTACAAGTTGATGCAAATAGAATTTAATTATTTGCACTTTCTAATCATCTGCAGACGAAGTTTGCCATTCTTTTTCTTTTTATCTCGAGAGCTCCTTGAGGCCTTAATGAGACCAAAAATGAGGTCTTAATGAGGCCTTGATGTGGCCTTAATGAGGCCTTGATGATGCCTTAATGATGCCATAATGTGGCCTAGATGAGACCTTAATGAGGCTTTAATGAGGCCTTAATGAGGCCTTAATGAGTCCTTAATGAGGCCTTAATGTGGCCTTAATGTGGCCTTAATGTGGCCTAGATGAGACCTTAATGCGCCCTTAATGACGCCTTAATGTGGCCGTAATGAGGCCGTAATGAGACCTAATGAAGCCTTAATGAGACCTCAATGAGGCCTAATGAGGCCTTAAATGGCTAGGCCAATCAAAGGTGGATCCACCACAATGGCGTAGCGTGAATGATTGATTATCGATACTTCCCCACTTGAAGCTATGGTAAACAATCGATTATTGAGGTGCTCGTTCCGAACACCCTGTCTATCGATATTTTCCCATAGGTTTAAATAGTAGATCAATTGATAAATCGCAAAGCACGCCACTGGTGCTTTTTGCACCCGACGGACCCGCTTTCCGCGCACAGTGATATCACAGGAGCATTAAGGCCGCCTGGAACACGTTGAGTATATCGAGCCATTTTGGAAACATATTAATGATGTGTTTGGCTTGTCTCGGAGGAGAACGTGCCGCACTTGGCGCGGAATTCCGAGACTCTTCGCAGCGCATGAAATATCGTTTCCCGCCGAGACGCGCGATGAAAAATGATTTGTAACCGCCCAACTTACTTCTTCTCTTCTTCTTAATTTTCATTCCGGGATCGGTAATGGAAGCTCACGCGTGAATAGGAAATCTCGAGCTATTCGACTATTTCGTCTCCTCTTACACAAGGGCGTAACTACAATCTGAATTGAACACCGTAGTCCATATAATTCAATGTTCTTCCGGGCGCATATCTCAATTTGGAGTTATGCCCTTTTGTCAGCCAAGCGACGATTTGTACTCGTTGACGGTGGGTCTGGTTCCTTTGATCCTTTGAACCAACTGCATTGAAAAGGATACGCCTTTTCTTTTCGGAAAAATGTCCGGAGGGGAGGGGGGGTGGAGAGGGAGTCGGGCTGTCCAATGAAATACAAGTCAAAAGAAGGCTTTGAAGAGTTATTAATCAGGATGTACATATACCAGTCTAAATGAACAGAGGGGCTGTTCCTGAATTACGAAACGCACTTTTCCGGCATGTTTCACCCCCCTTCCCCCTCGAACACTTTTGTGGCGTAATTCCCATGCTTTGACACTTTGCAAAAATGGCGTAAGGGTCTTCTCAACCCCCCCTCCCCATAGAGAATGGGCCTGTTGCAAACTTTTGCTAGAGCAAAACTAAGAGTTGTTTCTTATAGATAATGCCTCAAAAATCACGATGAGCGCATCGGCAAACTCTGAAATGCACTCATAACTTCACAATCTGCGTAAGAAATTTGCGGTTTTTTGAGCTTCCCGCTTCAAAAACGATACTACGGCACAGGTGAACATTTTGTAAGAGGAGTCGTTCCATCGTCGGCAATAATCATAATAGCCGACGCCAATCCGCCAAAACACGTTTGATGGGACGAGATAACACCTGAATTGGATTAGACCAGATAACAATCGGTGTGTTAACGTTCATATTTTCCACGCCCGAATGGATTGACCTTGAACTCTCCTTGAATTACGCGCGGAACTGCGTGCAAGCGTCGGCCATGATGAATATCGCCGACGATGGAGCGACTCCTCTAACAAAATGTTCACCTACGCCGTAGTATCGTTTTTGAAGCGGGAAGCTTAAAAAAACGCAAATTTCTTACGCAGATTGTGAAGTTATGAGTGCATTTCAGACTTTGCCGATGCGCTCATCGTGATTTTTGAGGCATTTTCTACAAGAAACAACTCTTATTTTTGCTCTAGCAAAAGTTTGCAACAGGCCCATTACGTATAGTAATTTAGGGATGGCCCCAATGCAGAGACTGCGGTCCACGGAAGTAACGTTTTCAGAAAATTCAGCGTAATTTTTTTCGTGTTGAATTTTACAATTCCGACAGAAAAATATCTCTTTTGTCTTGAAGAATAAGTTGGGTAGTTTTGTTCATTTGTTTGCTAGTGTAGAGTAGCATTTATAGGCGTAGCTAGACTGTTTTGATACGCCTTACCTATATTTAGACGCATTTTCAGGCTTTCGTGACGCAAATTTCCTATTCATTTCTGCACAAAAAGTATGCTACTATGAGTATTTTCAGTTCAAAATACTTCCGAATCGATGGATTCAACAAATTTTCTGTTATTCCCCCTCCACCCAGAATTTCGAAGGGGGGGGATACATATAATTTTCAATTCTAAGCGGGAAGGCCCCCTGGACCCTCCTATAGCTACGCTTGGTTGGAGCGTAATCCGGAAAGTCCGTGTCTAAAAAAGTCGATTAGAACTAAATCTCGGCGCGCTGCTGGCAAAGACGTCAGGACGTTGCAAAAACGGAGTGCCTTCAATTTTTCCAGTAGGCAACTTGGACAGCTCTTGAGCACAAATAGTTGCATTCAGACTTACTTACTCCAGTCTATATCTTTCTTTCTTAATTTAATGGCTTTATCACTAAGTTATAACTGAAAATAAAACACTAATAAGTGGCCCGATACTGTATGTAACAAGGTGGAGAAATGGTGCTGGGTCCACACCATTTCGTGGGGAAAACAAAGCCAAGAATTCCAAAAATTAAAATTAGAGTAAAAATTAAATTTTTTGAACTCTAATGCTTACCAGTGAATGAAACCGAGGGGGAGAGTGTTCAGCTCAGGCAGTTTGGCTCTCCCCCCTCGGTTTCATACTGGTACGCATTAGAGTTCAAAAAATTTAATTTTTACTCTAATTTTAATTTTTGGAATTCTTGGCTTTGTTTTCCCCACGAATAGGTGTGGACCCAGCACCATTTCTCCACCTTGTTACTACGTTATAACTTAAAACGTGCTGGACTGACCTTGGAAGGCGCGTCGTTATGAACGGAGGCGATGATAATGACCTCCTTGGGCCGGTTGGGGATAATCGGCATGGGGAGGGGGATATCCCCGTTGGCGGCGGCGGCCTTGAGGGAGGTGGCGTAGAGCTTGTGTCCGACGGAGTGGTGGCAGATGGCGACGGTGAGGCTGGGGACGACGTAGACGACGAGCATGAGGACGACCGTGTAGGCGGCGCGGAAGGAGCGCGAGGGCCAGAGCTCCTCGCAGCCGCCGCCGGGCGAGACGTGCCGGGCCCAGAGGAGCGGCCCGGAGACGAGGGCCGCCAGGAGCCAGATGGCCGCCACCATCCAGTGCTGCACCCGCGTCGCCGACTGGGCCCGCGTCATGATCCGCGGGTGCTTGATCGACGTGTACCGGTCCAGCGAGAGCATCATCAGCGACAGGGTCGAGGCCGCTACCGGGATCGTCTGCAACATGAATGGAAACCCACGTCAGTATCCATCGGTAATAGACTGAATTAAAATCAGCGAACATTGTAATGCAATGTCTGAAGGTAGTAGCACTAAATATATTGTCATGGGAACGGAGTTCCCCATGATATTAGAATCGTTCCGTTGCTTTCGCTATGGGATTCCCTATACCTCTGCGACCTTGAGCGTTTCGCCCAGTCTCCGATTTTTGGTTGATTTTCCGATGTATCA